TGTGCATTCTACAATTACTTAATATTAGTCAAAATTAGTCTTTAATAAAAAACTGTCAAATGTTACTAGCTTAGCGAGATTGTGAAATGTTGTGACATTATAATTGAAAGTAAAAAAACTGTAGTTTTTGAAATGAGTGTAATATATGCATCTATGATGAGTATAAGTACCTAATCAATACGTCAAGAGGTCTTCTCAATATAAATATTAAAAGATCAACTGAGTGATGTCTTTGTAAGCTTACGTCTTAGCGGGACGTAATCTTTTGATGTTATCCTCCCTTTTGAGAAGTTTTACTTCCTACTCTTCCTGTGGAATTATCTGGTAATCACGTCTCTCTGGCTCTCCTCAAAATCCTCGACGGATAATAAAAAATTACTCGTGCAAGCTTGGAATTCTACATTACCCTTAAATGCACACGACTCGATCGACGCCGCCGTAGTTGGCAAGTGTTGGAACTACGAGGGTTTTATTTTATTTTCAACACCTGCCGTAGACTACATCGCGGATCCTGTAAGGTTTGCGAAAATTTAAAATTAAGAGAGGTCTTATGTAAATTTTCATATCGTCACGTACAGCCATAAAATTTTAAGCGTTAGCGAAAAACTGCATTAAATTTACTCAAATACCATTAGAACGAACTGAATTACGCGCGGCTAGCTTTATAGGTATAGTCCTAAATTTATTCCCACTATTCATGGCGGAGACGGTCATGACACGTCGCATATTTTAAATTAAACAGCATTATCGTCTATGTAATACTAAAATCATATTTAAAGGAACTTTTTTATAATTATAATTACACAACCGCGTCGATTTGAATTTCATACACAAATACATAATCAGCAGAAATATATTTACGTATAATCAATTTACCGTTCAGTTATATTCATCCCGAATTTTAAAAAAAAGTTCGTTTAAATAAAGTATACACTTTTAATTATGATTCTCTCGTTTTGAAATGAATTTTGTGGAAAATGTATAAATAAACCTCGTATTAAGGTTTAATTAGTTTTCAACTCATTTTCAGTATTTACTCAAAAACCTATTCTCAATATGCAAATAAATGTAATCCTTTAACTTTAATTGTCAATGAGACCTAATTAAAGACTCGGGCTAATAAACCTTAAACGTTGTTTACTTGTACTGCAAATTTCCGATTAAAATACTTAATTAAAATTTATNACAAAGGAACAGACGGAGAGACAACCGGCAGGCGACAGATAGCAATGCAAAATTATAAAACGATCTCTAGGATCGTTAATAAACGGCAAAAGTGTAAAATTATGGAACATGTGAAAAACGGTTTTTTGTTTTTTTTTACACTAACTTTTTTTGTAAGCGGTACAGAAAAAAATCCTTCCTTGGTACAAGACTCGACACCATAACGAACCAAATAGCGAAAAAAGTAGAACAATAGCTCTTAAGATAAAAACTAGTAGCGTCGCAAAGTTAGCGGACGGAGCGGACGGACGGACGGACGGACAAAGTGGCCACAATAGCGCATTTTTTTTTTATTTTTGTGGAAATGCGCTAAAAATAAGATACCAGTTATATCAACGGTTTTTGTATTTTAATCAAATAGCCTTGATGAATGAAAAAAAAAACAAAATCTATTGGAGGCAACAAAAACAATGAGATCTCAACTCCTCGGACCAAAAGAATTCACCCAGGTTGTATTCTTTAATACAGCAAAAATTGAACCAACAGGGACAAAACAAACATCTTAGATACATGCCGCGCAAAGTCACGACATCTTTACATTTCGTCTTTATCTACTGTTTTTGTAACATTTTTCTTTGATAACAGCAAAAAAATGTTAATAGCCATACATAGAAGAAACCGAGGAAGACTTTGGTTAGAAATGTTGGAAATGCTCTTTTCGATTTTGTATAAATTATTCTAAAATTCTCCCCAAATCACTTGGCAGTATTAGTGTACAGGTCAGTTCAATTGTTTAGTCATTACAGCGATGGTGCAGCAATTGTTGTGATTGTAAAACAATTATAGAGCAAGTACCTAATAATTGAATCATTTTAAAGGATCTCAGAAAAACTAGAAAGTAGTGTTGTCTACCCCTGAAATTTCAAGGCAAAAGTAACAGTATCAATGTAGAGAGTAAGAAACAAGTAGGTATGAAATTGTATACACAAATATTCATATTTGGAAATTAAGAAAAAAATGTCGGTGGAATTCATAAATGAAAAAAAAATGAATACAATTTTAGCAAGTTAATGCAAAAATCAAAGTTGTTCGATCTAACCAGAATTAACATTGATTTTCCTAGATTTGACTACTGGAACTAACAAAACAAATATTTTTTCAAAATAAGCTAAGGGCCTAAAAGGTTTAGAGAGCAACATCCTTCCGAAATTACTTTAAATTTTCGAGCTATTATCTAGGGATTTCAAAAATTAGGAACTGTCTGAACTTGGCACCTTGTTTCTCTTGTACTGATTATAGTACTAAATAACTGGGCTTTCAATCTAGAACTGTAGAAATTTTATGGGTGCATCTCTTAACTGCTAGTCCTCTGCGAACAATACCTCAAATCCGGATACTGGCTCCAATACAGAGGTATCGAACCACGAATTTGCACAAAGCTCGCTCTATCACCCTGGCACTCCACAATCTGTTCGGTTTCGACGAAATTTGCTACATTTCCAACATTATCCAAACCTCGGCGGAACAGTCTTGTACCGGGTCGATTGATGCTTCTTCTTGAAATGACGGTCCAGGTAAAGTTGTAACCGTTGATCGAAAAGTCATTAATCGCCATAAACCCATGCAATAGTGGAAGACAGAAGTTGTGAATTTCCAGACGAAATATCTGTTTGATTAGATTGGAATTCCATACGAAGCGATGATCGGCCCTCTCAAATAAGGAACGATTCAAAAAGTCGGGCTCCATTAGATGTAACCGTTGCATTGTATGAGTAAGATCGTAAGTGTAACTAAAATACAAATACGGAGTGTCCAGTACATTTTTAATCATACTCAAGTATGAATTGTTATCATCTAACTGCTCGGCATTCAAATGGAGAGTACTACGATTATATGGAATAAGCTCACTGGAGACAAGGCACCAAACTGCATGACCGGCAATTGATCCAACGTAAGTGCGTTTCGTAGCTATGATTAGATACTGGCCGGCCAATAAACGAACGCTTCCGAGTAAACCACAAAACTCACGAGAACTTGTAGCAACAGGAATATCATTTACATTACTCTGCAAAGAGAGCGATTCGGACACACGATCCACTACCAAATACTTGGAACTCAATTTAGGACAAATGTAAAACTTATCCGGAGTTATAAACCTTAAAAACAGAATTTTAAATTCTCTCTCTACAATGTTATATTGTGTATACTTACAAGTTGAAATCATCATATACATCGGAGTAAAACATGTTTAGTAATCGCTTAGAATCAACTTATACATTAAATATTAAACTACAAAAATTATAAATAACAATATTAACTATTCTTTTTATAAAAGTACAAGGGTGTTGTAGATTGTAGATGATTCATTTAAAATTATTTATTTTATAGGTTTAGGTTAACTTGTCAGTGTCACTGTCATTTAATTTTTATCCCAGTAGACAGTAGTTCCAAAACAATTATGTTTTCAGTACGATATGTGTCCATGCGAGCATCTTTCTGAGCAGTGTGGCCTCATGCCATCCATATGCTCCATGTGTGATGCCCGCGATGTTTTTTCCAAATTATCATTGGGCTGATCGGGTTTAATCAGATTGGTAGATTTTGCTTTAGCAACATTATTGCCACAATTGTTTCCAGCAAAACGACTTCATCCCCTTATAGTTTCCAGGTAAATTTTTACTAATCTGGTGTATTTAGTTCAAATATGGCAGACCTCCTAACAAAAAATAACACCACTCTGTCTCTGTAGTTACTGTATTTCTTAAATAGCAAGAAATGAAATGGTTTTCCTTTTCAATAGTTTAAATTGTAAAACGTAGATGTCTCTACCATCAAGAAAAATGAATAAATGCCAATCTTGTAACCTTTATATAATCATTATCAGTTCACTATCAAACATCATTAGGAAATGTAGCCCATAGAAATAGAGGTTTATTGCGCGTTGCTAACCAACGAAACCATTCTGAGCTTATTGAAATAGTGATAATCAGCCCTGTGATGTATCACTAACGCATACCTCACTAACGTTAAACAGTATTATCTTTGGTTAAACTGAACTCGCATGTTATCTGTCAAAAATGACTTTTTGCCTAAACTAAATTACGCAAAAAATCCTGTGTATTTAAATAGATTTTGAAAAGTATTTTACCCAGCTCTGTCCCCCGCCGCATCTTGGTTATACAGTGACTACACAGTACACACAGTGGCGACAAGCAACAATTAGCTCTGCCCATCGCCACTCCGAGATTCACATCGCATCACTCCTATCTCTTTTAGTTCTCAAAATACTCCCGATTAACATTTTGGCAAGTTTGTATTGTTAGAACAATACATTCAAATGTTTTGCTTAAAATCGATTAAACGAGTCAATACAAATTACTCGCAGATAAAAACTAAACTGTAAACACTTCTGTGCAGTGCCAAGCACAGTTAGGGTCCCTTCGCATGCATCCACTGAATAGTACTTTTCATTGAATAAGCACCTTATATTCAAAATGGTACTTTTCCTATTTATTTAGCAACGCTACAACAGCGCCACCATGCGTACCTCATGCTAGTACCTGATGAACAATGAACTTAGGTACAATAGAGGAAAAACCCACAAAGGAACAACTGGATGTACCCACTAGTGCTAGAGAAACGGAATCGAGGACTGTTCTCCACGCTGTTCGACGACTCATAAGGTGATGGTGATATTTTTTTCTTATTTTCGTGGTTAATAATGACAAGTGAACTCACACTGCCAAACTCTTAAGACTAGTTGTATTCCGACCACCTGTTTTATTGAAAAATGTTTCGCTACAACCAAGCTTAAGGGATTATTTTAAATAAGAACATAACAAATATTTGTTTATTTTCTTGCAGAAATTGTTAATAAGATGTCAGATTAGATTTGTCATAAGAGAGATGATTAAATACATTGAGCATTCAGATTTCTAACACAGATACCTACAAACTATCATTAACAAGAGCTTCCTATTAAAAATCACCGGGACATGTTTATACAACAACCATAAGACATTTTGCAGTTCTTCACAAGTGCGTCAATTCGATTTTGGTTACACAAGTCAAAAAATGACCTATAAATTTTGAGGTTCACTTTCCGTTGTCTTAAGGTCTACGGTTACTGCACCGCTGATAGTGGTCACATGACTGCCAATACTTAGTGACCCGACCTTGGCTCTGTTGTATGCACTTAACGTATTCTGTCCCAGAAACCTGAAAGTAAAAGAAAACGATTAGTGATTTGCTTAGAATTTGGAATAGGATACCTAATGCAAATGTAGATTACAAAGGCAGCTAAGCTGGCACTGATCATTCTGATGTAGGGATCATCAAACAGCTGAATTACAGTCCAGGCAGCAGCCACTGCCGAACACAAACACGTAATTATCAGAGCAGTGCTACTCCAATGATGTGCCGTAAATCCCTTTTCCCAGTCCAATTTGTTGGTTTCCTTAACTTGATATGCCTGCTTGCAAACTTTACATTGTAGTGCTTCAGTGCTACCAGATGAACTTTCCATTAACCATCTTCTCAAACACTCATGGTGTACACTTGACATGTCACCAATACACCCGCAAGGTTGTATGAGTGGTTCCGGCTTATCCAAATCGTAACATATCCAACATTCCTGCTTATCAACAAACGTCTCGCTTTCCGGTAATATTTCACCGTTATTACTCTTATCCCAAGATTTTTGGTCCAATTTCGCTAGTAATTTTCGTGGATTCAAAAGCCACAATTCGCCTGGTGATATGCAATTCCACAATACGGCGGGAAACCAAACTGCCAAACCAATTTCGACAACACGAAACACGACATCGTGAAAATTTCGGGACTTAATTGGCACCTTGGTCTTCCAAAATTCGGATAAGGTCTCGGAGAATAAAAACCCAACTATAATGATCGACATTAGGGCGTGGCTAAGCAGTCCGACACGTGACTGATGTAACTGAGAATTGTTCACGAGAGGACTCATGTTTGTCGTCTGGAGTGGTTCTTCCTCGGCGCCAGCGATTTGAACGTGACTCTTAATGAATCCACCTCGTACCTACAAAACATGATAGAATGTAACAGTTAAAAAAAATACCTAATGGACATTTTTAAAAGCAATGAATTTTTTATTAGTGCTAATTGGAAACCTATGGTGGCGTGCGGATATGCGTTCAGGAAACTTCTCCTTCTTTAATGATAATCCAAAAACTGGTATATTACTCAATGAACTCAGACATACACATTGCATTAAGATACAAGTAACTGCATACTAGACACAGGAAGTGCTGTGGCTGTTGAAGTTAAAAAAAGTAAAACAAAAACAATTTAGCTAAATTGAATTTTTTCTTTCAGGTGTTACCTGATGATGACAGCTTTGCTGTTGAAACGCGTTTGATCTATTATTGTAGTTTATTGATTATTGTTTACTTTTTGTCAATTGGATTCACCAGGTTGGTAGATTTTGGTTAGTTATTGGCACAATTGTTGCCATGTTGAATTATTGCAACACTAGTGTGCCACTTAATGCCATAAATGCGACTTACCTTAAAAAATACTTCAACTCCATATATAAGGAAAAATATAACTACAATAAACAATAATACTGCGTAGCAACCATTAAAAATATGATTGTAATAAGAAACATTTTCAATAGGCGGTTGTACCAACTGTGTCGTTATAACTTCGGCCAACAATAAGCCATAACTAATAATGTTGAACACCAAAAATCCTATGAAAGATTTAGAGAGAAACTGTGGTTTTTCCCACTGAATTCCAGGTATATGGAAAACCTACAAATATGATTTCAATCAATATTTACACCTTTCACTAGTTCTACTTACTTCTGCCCAAAAGCAAACGATTAACGACGATCCTGACATAAGCAGAGGATAATAAGCAGATAACAAGCTATTTGCCCATCCTGACTTAAAAGTATTCTGAAACTATAGCATTAGATGGATAATGTTTCGTTTGATATTTACCGGTGAGGTAAAATACGCTCCTCTGATAGCACTGGCAAGAAATGTTAAAAAATATAGCAATTTTTGTGTCGTTATTTTACACGCCTTAAGAAATGTAGGCGTTTTCAAGCGCTGATATTCCGACACAATGCACATCAGAAGCTGGATGGTAGAAACCAACGCAATTAGCAGGAAAACTCCTCCTATTCCTGCATGGTAGGGTAAGTTGGGACCATCGCAGTGATCGCCAGAAAAACGTATCTCGCACACGCATGTTCCGTTGTGACATTCTCCCCGACCAGAACAATCGCTGATACAGGCAATATCAGGCATGAGAAGTAGGTGGCGGATCATTACAATATTTCATCCAACCTGCAAGAAGAGTTAGTTTAGAGGATAAACATCAACTATTATTAATAACAATAATAATAATCAATTGTCCTATATTGTACCATACATAACATAAGGTCAACACCCCGTCTATTTTCTCATTTTCTGTCAACTTGGTGTCAACGTGACATATACAATGTGAACAAAACAAATATAATTTAATGCCTTGACCTCGGCCTTGACTATACTTTTTTGTACTTCTTTGTTACTTATAAGTTATTATGTTCTGTGCTACTGATACTGGCACTAACCCTCTCCTCTAATCCCCTGAACTTACCAACAGAACAGAGAAATAGTCTAAGATAAAAAGCTATGGCGCCTTACTACTTTCTCCATCATCAAACATAGTGCAATATCTATACGAATTCACATTCAAATGACAGAGTTACAGAGACACCGCAATGCCTTCTATATGCGAGAATAACTACAAATGTTGCTGAATTCTTAAATAGTATGCTATGGTCCGATGCCAATGGAAGAGGAAAATATTGTGGGAAATACTTGTAAATATAGTTTTAATCTAAACAAATCATGTTTCCGAATTCTTCATAAAAGACGACCAGCTTCTTTTACAAAATTAGAAATATTTACAATAGCAGTAGGATTGGCAACACTGTTGTGCTATACTGAGTGTAAATTCCACTATACATATAAGAATGTAAAAAAATTGAGTGCTAGAGGGAATCAAAACAAGCACTTTTTCCAAATAAACCAAGGGTTGCATTCCTTCTTTAATTTTTTCTGGGCAACCATAACAGATAGAAAGACTGGTGGTATGTATGTCTTTCAAAAGGTTTTGGGGTATGCCCTTTCTCATATTACAAAAACATTTTCAAAATTCCTGCCACAAAAGAGCGCACCCACTAAAAGGAGATGCGAAAGAAAATTCTGATATCGACCAAATTTAATATCTGGGGGCTTTTGAGAATTCGAAAAAAAAATCCACTACTGCAATGCTTGGCCGGACACCGAAAATTGAGAAACTTCCACAAAATTTGATGTGTACATACTTGATGAGTTTAAGGAACAAAATTGTTGAACAGTTTTTTTAAACAAAAGTTATACTCATTTGAAAATTGGTCCTTCAGTTACAAAGTGTCCCCCGTCTACTAGTGAGTCATTTAGCATGTATTTAATTGAAAATGTCGCAAATAACACAAAAATAACGATTTGATAAGTCTTTCTAGTAATCGAGATAGTTAAACTAGAGCACGAACATACAGATAGGATCAACTTGATTCAAAATACCTTAAACAAATTACTCAAAATAGAAACAAATCATAATTACATTCATCCGTCTGTGTACACTTCAAACGGCTTATAATTATAACACTGTACAACTGTACTGTTTATAAAATATATCACTCTACATGTATGATCCAAAAATAACTCAGAAATGCGGTCTTATCAGTGCAAAGAACACCTACAACGCTTCTATAATTAAAATAAAAACAATAGTATGACGTAATTTTTCTATGATAAGAAACTATCCACTACAACAACGCAAAATAAGTACCTAATTTTACAATTTAACAAAATTGAACAGCAATATAGCACTACAAGAGAAGCATTTATCAATATTTATACAATATTGAATATACCATCATTTACTGTCTAGACTAGACAAACACACCCGTATGTAGTTTATTTATTCAGTTTACGTACATGTTTTTTGATTAATGCAAACAAAAGCAGTAGTAGTTCAGAAATTAAGAGTTTACGAGAGTTGGTCAAGTTAGATCTACGGACTACAAATTGACCCGATGGTCCACGACCACATTCCATCTCTCTTTTTCAACCGATTCATAAGATTTTGAATTAATGAGCAAAATTAATGAACGAACCATTCGCAATGCATAAAATTAATAGGTGAAATTAGTCTGTACACAGTATCGCCATCTATGTAACAGCGAGGCAATTGGTTAATACAACAACTTTCAACGTCAAGGCGCGCACATTTAGGCGTATCCAGTAGCTGGCGCTAGTCGCACCGGCCTGCCAATTCTTGGCTGGCAAAGCCCTCTACCAAGGTGGTTTACAGGTATCGAGTGGCTGGCGCGGTTGTATGGGGAAAGGAGTTGGCAACTACTGGCAAGACTCGCTCTCTATTTGTTCCAGCGTCGGCGGCTAACGCTGGACTGGCACGAAAAGTATTCCCACAATGCCAGTACTGGATACCTCTAAACGCGCCTTAACCTTGCAGCGCAAGTACAGAAGTCAGGCCTTAATCCTAAACATAGGTTCTCCGTTCATAAGTTTCCGTTTGTCCGTTAGCCAATCAGGTGAGGTTATGTTTGTTACATTATCAGTGTTCGGCTACGTCGTTTTTCACGGTAATAATCAGATAGCAATCATCATAATATACAGGGTGGTTCAAATTCGAGGGACACCATGGGGATTTTGGGAACTGTAAGTAGTTTAAATCTAGCAAAGTTGCGTATTTTGATGCTTAACAAAATGCAGTTTTGGAACTTAAAGAATTCCGACTACTTTCGGAGATATCCGGAAAAAGCCGAAACTTTGCAAAATCGTTTTTATTTTTGACTGAAGTTACTTAAAAAGATATTTCAAAATAAATGATTCATTATTATGGCCACTCCCCCCCCCCCTACAAGATGCTACTTTTAAATTTTAAGGTTGACGTTTCGTCTCCAGTCAACAATGATCAACTTTGTTTTTTCTTATGGAAGTAATTTTTACTTTTTGTCAATTGATGGAGAATTTTATTCTGATTTCAAAAATGTAAACATCACTATCTTTTAATCATAAATAGCGCTATTAATTCGTAAGAACGCAAGCAACTACGTACGTACACTATCTAAGACAAAGTTTTCTAGGAAAAAAAGAAAATATTTGAATAGGTAATTAAAAAAATTGTGATGTTTATATTTTTGAACTCTCTTTTAAATTCTCTATAAAATGGCACAAAAAGTCAAAAATAACTTCCATAAGAAAAAAGAAAGTTGATGGTCAACCGGAGACGAAACGTCGGATTTAAAATTTGAAACTAGCATCTTGTAGAGAGAAAAAGTGGCCATAATAATGTGTTATTTATTTCGAAACCTTGCCAAATTTAAACTACCTATCCTCTTACAGCTCCCGAGATCCCCATGGTGGCCCTCGAATTTGAATCAGCCTGTATACTCCATAGATATAGCCACCCCATTTACTTGCAATAAGGAGCATCTGTGCCTGTGCCAACGCACTTACCACACTCAGACAGAGAAAACCATATTTTACGACTTTAGATTGTGTGAAAACTTACAAACAAGTGGTATGTACTTATTTGTATAGTGGGTTGGGTTGGTTGTATACAGTTGTATAGCGGTTGGTAGAGCAGCCATTGTTTAAACTAGTAAGAGCAAAACAAATTAATGAACCTCGTTATCTAAAAACACACGTTTACCCAAATATATACTTATACAGGATACAGTAACTAAGGTAAGTATATACCGGGAGATTACCAACGTGGGATCTGTGAAGAGAAAAGTTCAAGGTTGAGTACCACAACAAAGGTGTGGTTCATACTAAGTAAAAGGATACGATCGAATCGAAGTGAATTGTAGGTATGCTAAAACGGGTATATTCCAAGTAAAGAAAAACTGACTTGAAGAACATGAGGAAGCAAAATAATTGCTTTTTTAATACAATACCATGTATACTTACTTTGATATTTTGAAGGAAAATTAGTTTTCAAATAAAAAATGTGATTTCAGATCAATGGCACTTTACAGGTACCTACTCAATTAAACCCTCTAGTAGAGAACGACCGCATACACAAACTAGCCATTAGCTATTAATCCGTTTAGAAAAATGGGTTAAAAGGGCAAAAAATTGCGATTTTTTCGAAATTCCATGTTTATACCGCACATTATGCGCGCTTTAAAGCAAACGTTTCTACAGGGTGAGTTTTTTTCTCGTATGCGAACTTACTCATTTTACCGATTATATTAATTTTAGAGGTACTTTGAAAGCGGAAATTAATCAGCATAAAATTATGTATAACTTTGCCCATTTAAGCGACTTTGTATCTCATACGATTTACGAAATCCCCATAGTGAAAGTGGAAAAACAACTCACCTCACCCTATATAACTACATTAGATGCAATCTTTTGGCACAATACTGTGTTATCGCGGTTATTTGCCGAGAAGATTTCAATATTTACATACTTGTATCTGAGCAACGTTTTCAGCGGGTTTATGGTAATGTAATTAAGATAATGATATATCTATGTTACTTCAATCCCTCCGACCGTTCATCTTATGGTTTGACATCTCGGCACTGAGACCGTAAGACAGGCGAAAGAAATAGTACTTTGTGTACCAAGGCGGGAAAGTGGTTGTTTTCCGGGGCGAAGGAAGATATGGCCAGGCGAGGCCCAGGCGAGGCGCAGCCGAGGCTGGCCACTTCCTGAGGCCCGGAAAACAACTTTCGTGCCGTGGTGCACACAATATTTTTTATCCTATACACTTACATTTAAAATTAATCCCTCAACAACGTCCGACCGCAAGCGCTTGAATTTGGATTTGCTTTAACGCGTCAACGTGCACGCGTTTGTTTTGTTTATTTCCACGTTTCCTGCTGACTACGCGAAAAAAATTTTACGAAACGGTGCAATCTAAGTGGGCTCACGAGTATATTTTTTACTCGTAGATTTACCCCTTTCCCTTATAATACAGTTCAACGCAAATTCAAATTCTAGCGCGCTTGCGATTGCACAGTGCGGAGTCACCGAAGGGAGTCACGATGCAACAGAGCAGAGGTGCAAGTGGAGAATACCGATCATGTGCGAACTGAGTTGACATTTCCGGCCTTTCACTGGCGCGTGATTATTTCCTTAGAAAATAACGGGATTTAAGGGGTTGTAATTAATACCAGGCGCATTTGAAATTATTACTGGTCTTCTGTATTAACAAATGTGTTTTAAAATTGAATGTGTGTTTTCAGGGACAAAATCACACCGGTTACATTTTAAATCCTTCGCAGTATCCATGTCTTGTCAAATGTTAGATGCTTTTAAGACTGGATTTATGCTTGGCGACGAAAGCGCAATGGGCACACTTTAAATCCTTGATGATCTTGTATTTTAAAAAAATGTGTTTTATAAATAGCTTTATTCATTCCTTACAGTCACACTGGACACATTTTAACTTCGGGGTAGTCTCGTATGTTAAAATGCTACTTATTGCGCATAAGCGGTGTTCTACTTACAGTGCAGAGTACATGTAAATCTTGGTGTTAAATGTATTGACACAGATGCTCGTTATTGAAAGTAAATGGAAGATTATGACTTAGGTTTGAAACGTTTGAATTGGTCACGTGATGTTGGGAAAGTATTCAAATTCACGAAACATTGATAGGTATATAGAGAGAGGTTCGCGGTAATTAAATAAATTCTTGAATTCAGTAAAATAAAGTGAACATAGGGTAAATTTAATTATTAAATCAGTGTTGACGATTTTATGTTTCTTATTTAATTAAAAAGAAATAACTTCTTTGACATTTTATTACAACCGCGCCATCTAGCTTACATAAGGCGTATTTTTTTTCTCGCCTAGCCGACAAAATTGAATTTTCTCGCTCCATGCGTGCAATTGTCTTCTTTCGCGTCCTCACACAGGCGAGAAAATGTAAGTTTCTCCTTGTATAGGATAAACAGAGTTTTGTTCAAAAATGTCGTGCCTGCACAAGCGCATTGCAGAATTATTGGGACACATGGAGTAGTATTTGCAGAAACAAGTAATATAATTTATTATCTATTAACGCTTATCTCAGCCAGAGATATCAAAACGACCTTCAAGATCGCGAATACCCGCACCCATCTAATTCATACACTATAAAATAAATAATGCAAAACACTTCTCTTTAAAATCTACATATTGTGACAATGAACAACATGAATATAGTTGCAAGTATGTACCAAATTCCTGAGCCTTAACTTTAAAGAAGTGCGACTATTAAGTTAAAATAGTAATCGTAAACGATTTACAAAAAGCCACATGAATGGGCTTTGTCCGAAAAAATAGTCCAGTCGAATTCGTTTTCAGCCATTTAACCAAAAAAACTGTCATTTTTCCATTTTTTCACAGCAATACTGGGTAACGAATACCATTTTGGGGCATTCAAAGGTAAACCAAGGGCCAAAATCAAATAAATATTGGGTAAAATAATATGTATGAAATATCTAAAGAATCCATTTATTATGGTCTGACTTAATAGTATTGTTTGCCATTGTTTAAAACTCTTTACAGCTTGATTAAAAATGAAACTTTATATAAATAATTTTATCATGTACAAATATATTTAAACACAAAAGTAATAGCATATAACAATGAGATATAATAATGTATGATTTTGAGTTAATGTTCAATTCGGTGGACTGAAGGACCATAGATTAAGTATAACTTTGGCGAAATTAAAATTTAAACTGAGCCATACAAAATACATCAATAAAACGTTGTGGCACGTACCTTGCTTGGTTTTCGGTTTCGTATCTGGATAGGTTTTCTAGCGGAAGCCCCCAACTGGATCCTGATATCTTCTAGTAACACTCCACTGTTTAGTACTTTTGGAAGTGTATATACTTAGATCAACTGTATGAATGTAAAACAGGCCTTCCACGTGCATTCACTTCATCGAACTTTGAATTAACGCCACGACTTCGAACTTGGAACAGAATGTTGAAACACCACTTCCACGTTCGCACATGGTTCGTACAAACTTGGCGAACACATACAGGTACGAATGTGCACGCGAAAACAACGATATGCGTTTTCGGTTCCTCATATACTACAATGCGTAAATTTATTTCACTTATGTCTTAACTCCAGGAGCGACAACCACATCCACGCGCCCAGCATCGCCCCGCGCCAAGAATTTAGGATTGGCAAAACTCTTCGCTCCGCACCAAGAACGATGCAAACTTTGCGCGATGACCCCTTCCACGTTCGAACTTGGTCTGTTTGTAGGAGTGTACACTCCAAGTTCGATGAAATGAATGCACGTGGAAGGCCTGCTTAAAGCAGAACAAATGCCTGTCCATAGAAACTACCTTTATCTGCAATCTCACTTCTATTACTGTTTGGAAGCAATTGTGCGTTTCGAGCTGACGTACTGATGTTGTACTTGCATGGGATAATTATTTTTTGAAATAGCGCAAAACAAACTGAGGGTGATACAAATATTAAGATAAAAAAATTCAGAAAACAGTAATTCATTTGATTCAATTGATTTTTTACTATAATTTTTTTGCGCACTTTCCAACATGTTGAACGGCCACTTTCTCCGTCCGGCCGTCCGGAAGCCTTAACTACTCCTACAGGTTTTAAGATATTTGGTTCGTTCTTTCTGCATTTTGTAGCTTATAGATCTGGCACCCGAGCCAGGAAAAATCGATTAATTAGCCCATGCGCAATGTCAAGTTTCTATTTAGTTATTTTTTGAAGTTTTAACCAAAGATTCTTCTAGTCAAAGCAAACATATCGCATTTTTTAAACAAGTTTTTTATTTATAAGAATATTTATGCCTTCGCTTATTTTCCTTTGTGCACATAAGTAGTCCGCTATGACTTTTCTGGAAGTACTGATCAAAGTGATCAATTCATGGAGGATTTTAGTGCAACGGCATTAGTTTTGATCTTTTGGTTCAGTTACAAAACTTGCCTATTATTACTCTAAGAATTCAATTTTAGAAGTCGAGTGGACCCCGCACATAAGAACACGCCCAAGACCATAACAATCTTAACATTGTAAATATTGAAATTGATGGAGCCGATTACAGAAGTACAATCATAGCGTAACCGCAAGATCTCGTGCGCAAGACTAAACTGCGTCCTAGTCCCTCTGTTGCTTGTTGGTCACAACTATGCTTCTTTTGTAAAGTCCTTCAGCTCCAACGTCGCATTTACTTTAATCTAAGAATTCAATATTGTTGCTTTAATTGGAACAAATTTGATGACCTTTTTTTTGTCTGGGAAAGGTTTCGCCCATCGACTGGGACGATTTCACCATATGGTGATATGGTACAACCACGATTCATCAGCTGTTATGATCCCGACCTTCTTTCAGGCCTGCGTTGGGCGCCATTTTGCAATAGTATAACAAATTTTGGAGCACTCGCGCCCACCGCCCTAATGGTGTCAGAATATCGGATAAATTTCCTGGAAAATGGCAAATTCCTCCAATATGTATTCTCCGAGGTATTCTCGAATGGTTGTGCGCAAGTGCACCATTCTGTTGAAACCAATAGTTTCCGACATTTCTTTTTTTACGGGCCATATAAAAAAATAAAGTTGATGATGATTTGTCCGGAACGACACGTATTGAAAATCTCTTAACGCTATCTTGTATAGACCTCAAAAAGTGGTACCTAATCTGTTGTGTTAAAATGAAATCGGCAAATTTCCGTTTTACTTACTTACTGATTTATCCTAGGATTTATCTTCGAAAGTACATAATCGGAATTTTCTGGTTTTCTTTAACGCATGATCATAACTCATTTCTATTAAATGAGTAATTTTTTTATTGTTTTAATTTGTAAAACAACAATGATATTATTTTTCTTACCTAAATTTCGAGCTAGATTTATACGGATAATTTGTTAAACTGTTTTCGTCAAAGTATTAGGCATTGTTTAAACACGTTTAGTTCAACCGTACCCTTGTAATAAGAAGTTGTAATTCTTTAGATACAATAAAAGATAATCATAATAATAAATAAACTTTTTAAAAGCGCATCTTTTCTCCAAATTGATAATCGTCGTATCTTCTATGGTTTTGGAGATAGTAAATAGATTTGAGAATGCCAAATCCGTTGTAAGAAAAGCGAACGACACCCTAATGACTCAATGAACCTTTTGAGCACATTTTCAAACGAAGTTGGGTGCGCTATTGCAGCCACTTTCTCTGTCCGTCCGTCTGTCCAAGGCCTTTAACTACTCCTACAATTTTCAAGATATTTAGTTTGTTCTTTTTGCATTCGGTAGTGTATAGCTCTGGCACCTGAACCAAGGAAAATCTTAACGATTAAGCTGCACATCAATGTCAACTTTCTCATTTATTAATATATTTTGTTGAAATTTTAACCACCGATACTTCTAGTAAAGGCCAAACATATCGCGCATAGTACAAAACAAATGTGCGCATGCGCAGACTGCGCAATGCCAACTTCCTCATTTATGGAAGTCTTTCTTTGTTGGTCTTTTCGGAAAATGCGCTGAAATTACTCGCCTTAGGGCAAAAACCTTTTACTTGTTTTAACATCTATTCTTTTTCTTAATGCGGTTCTATCACCAATAACCGACCTATTCCCGCACGTTCTAAAATTAATTGATCCGGTAGTATTCGTGTTGCCGGTGACAAAGAGATTTTATTAAATTGTATGAAATTGTAAAAGTGACACCAAGTCGCGTGTACCACGTACGGTTTTAGGTAATCGAGGTTTTAATTGTTATAGCCGAACCGGATTGTAACATCGGGTTGTGATTGGGAAATTCGAATGACTTGTTAGAGTTACTCATGAAAAGCACACAACGTGGACATGATTTTTGTAGTGCTAACTTAAAAAACTTTCAAGGCCCAGGGTGATTGTAATCGATCTTTCCGTTGCAATTAATAATAAATATCGAAACCTATTAAGAAATATGTAGAAGCGATGTAATATAACATTTTATAATCGGTAACTAATAGCTACATTGACGTATTGTGGATAATTGATATTTGAATAAACTCGTCATAAAAGGCGCATTTCTTTACGCTTGATGGCTTACACGCATACCTACAATACAAAAAACAATACAACTGAACCAGAAACACCATTTACCCATCGTTTTGCGGATCTTGATTATAACAGAGTGGCTCGCTCTCATCTTCGGCATTGTTTCAACCTAGAGAAACAACACCCCCCTGTAGTTTACACAATATTTTAACCATTGGTGCTTAAAAAAACAAATGCAAACAAGTTATAAATCAGCATATGCATGATGAAAGCGCATTTTTGGTAATATCGATCAGTATTTGATTAGCGAAGTTTAAAATTATCTATCTCATGAGTAATCTAACTCAAAATAGACTAGAGCCTGCACATCTACACTATAGCAGAAAGCTTTTAGTGAAAATTTGAAATCTCTAGCCGAGTCTCTAGCTATTGTAATTGCTGAGATCTCAGCCGGACAGCCAACCAGCCATAACGAATATAATATGCGCTAAAAATTAAATCGAAGGGCAACTTTTTTTAAATTATAGATATTTCAATCAAAGGTGCCTCTGATGTACCTACCACCCATCCTCGCATCCATCTCTAAAAACAAGTCAACACCTATTGAGAACCTGTTTTTGTGTTTCCTGAAAAACGTCAAATACAAAAATTCCTGCAATACTTCAAACTCAAACAAATTGAACTGGCACAATC